ATTGTGGTTTGAATTTGCATTTCTCTGATGATTAGCGATGTAGAGCATCTTTTCATGTGTCTGTTGGCCATCTGAATTTCTTCTTTAGACAACTGTCTATTCAGCTCCTCTGTCCATTTTTTTAATTGGATTATTTGCTTTTTGTTTGTTGAGGTGCATGAGCTCTTTATGTATTTTGGATGTCAACCCTTTATCAGATCTGTCATTTATGAATATATTCTCCCATTCTGTAGGATACCTTTCTGTTCTATTGATGGTGTCCTTTGCTGTACAGAAGCTTTTCAGCTTGATATAGTCCCACTTGTTCATTTTTGCTTTTGTTTTCCTTGCCCAGGGAGATATGTTCATGATGAGGTCACTCATGTTTATGTCTAAGAGATTTTGCCTATGTCTTTTTCTAAGAGTTTTATGGTTTCATGACTTATATTCAGATCTTTGATCCATTTCAAATTTACTTTTGTGTATGGGATTAGACAGTGATCCAGTTTCATTCTCTTACATGTAGCTGTCCAGTTTTGCCAGCACCATCTGTTGAAGAGACTGTCATTTCCCTATTGTATGTCCATGGCTCTTTTATCATATATTAATTGACCATATATGGTCGGGTTTATATCAGGGCTCTCTAGTCTGTTCCATTTGTCTGTGGCTCTGTTCTTGTGCCAGAACCAAATTGTCTTGATTACTATGGCTTTGTAGTAGAGCTTGAAGTTGAGGAGCAAGATCCCCAATACTTGTTTTGATGCTCTGGGTTAGTGGAAGAGTTGGAAAAGGGGATAATGTTATGTCTCAGGACCTTTATTCTTATTGCTTATGACTAGTGTGTTCCCCATATTTTTGTATGGTTAACTCCTTCATCTACTTCAGGTCTCCATTATGATGAGTGAGCCTTTCCTTGACCATGCAACTTAAAATTGTATCCTCTCCATACTTCACTACAGTACTGTTTCCTTTTTATGCTTCATTTTTGTCCAGGTCATTGTTCATCATCTGATATACTGTATGCTTTATTTCCTGTGTTCTCTTTTTGGAATGTGGGCGGTTTAGATTTTTGTCTATTCCAAGCATTAACTAATACCTGGCACATAGTAGGCACTCAGTTAATATTTGTTAAGTAAGTTAGTGTTTATCTTGCAAAGGACTTCATTGGGCAATATAGGTCCCATCTGTGATGATGGTCTTACCACCTATGATGGTACCTCATGGGAAGAGAAAAATTCATTCCATTTAAAAAATATTAGTACTAATTTAAAGACTCTTACTGATTTCAAGGAAATAGATTAAGCTATATTAGATGTTGCCTTTACTGAAACTTTATAAGAATTCAGAAGATGAGATTTTAGTTTGATTTTTTACCTAACTGTTGTCAACATAAGTTGTGTTTGGTTATTAAGTAATCTGTATCATTTTAAAGATCTGGAATGTTTTTCTCTCAATTTGAAAAAGTCTGAAATTGAAAATTGGTCAATTTCTGTCAATGGACCATGCGTACTTATACTTGTAAAGAACATTAGTTTTTATAATTACTCTTTTATTTAGGATGGATTAGTCATTCTTTAGCTGCTGTTATGCATCTACCATGTACATAATGTAGCAGGTCCTATAAAGAAAACAGTGATGAAGAATTCTTGAAACCAACCTTTAGGGAATGTATAGTTTAGTGGGTGGATGATAAGGGATGAATGTAAATAACTATAGTAAAGCAAGGAGGATTTTGATAAGTGCAATGAATGTTATTTATTTCGAAGGGCGAAAGAGGTTACTTTACTTGGAATGATCTCATAGGTATTAGCCATTAACATGGTTTTAAAGGATGAGTATTGTTCATACTGATAGAAGAGGCACATAGTTGGAAGAAATAGCATGAATAAAAGTGCAGAAGTGAAAAAGTAGAAGGCATATAGAGGGAATAGCTACTAGTGAATGGATGGAGCACGAAGTTGATATAATGGTAATAACTTTGAAGTCTGAGTGAACAGTTTTAAGCTTAGAGCCAGATTGTGAAAGAATTGAAAGAGCCAGATTGTGAAAGAGTTGAAAACAAGACAAAGGAGTTTGGACTTATTTGGAGGGTATTGGAGAACCTTTGATGTATTATATAGAATCAAGTGATACTGAAGGAAGATTGGTTCAAAGATACTCTTCTTCTCACCTTCAACAATAGGTAGGCAATAGAGGCATGAATCCTCTAGATTAGAACTGCTGTGGTAGTTTGAACAATTTAGTAAGGAGCTGAGTTAAAACAGTGAGGTGGTATTGCATCGTCTTTAAGAATATGGGCTCTGGAATCAAAGTGCTCAATTTTAAACAGTACTAACCTAGTCCCAACCTTTACTAGCTGTGTGTACTTGGCAGATTACTAAGCTAACCTTGTCCTCTATAAAAAGGTGATAAATTATAGCACCTACCTTTTGGGGTTTTTGTAAGATTTAGGTAAGATATACATCTAAAATTTTTAGCCGGGCACAGAAAAAGTAATCAATAAATTGTTAATACTATAAAATGCTTGACATACTAACTGTTTTAAGGAAGAAGAGAAAAAGATAACTATAGTTTGAGCTTTATTGTCAGAGGAATCACATCATTAAGAAAGACAATCATGAGGAGTTGATCTGGGGGGGACATACATGATTTTGGTTTTATGGAAGTTAGTTTTGATATAAATACACAACAGTCTGTTAGACTAGAGTTTCAGGGGAGAAGTCACTCTAAATATATGTTGCTTGTATTTTGCATTTTGGTATAAACCTTAAAATTTTTAAGTGTGTGATGAACTTCAAGAGTGTATTTATGGTTTGTTAACAAATTGACATAACAGTGATCACATTAGAGGATCTATTTTTTTCACATAAGCAGAAATAATTTGTTAGGATCCCAAAGAATCTGATGAACCCCCAAGAGGAGGAGAGCAGCCAGAACAAGTAAGGGGAACAGAGCAGTTACTGACATGGCTTCTCTCCTGTCTGACCCCTGAGCTAGGGTGATCTTGTCTTTATTATTTTCTCTAGATTTGAGTTCCATTCTCCTTTCCCTGTGCAGACCAGCTTTCTCTATTGATAACCTACAAAGCCCCAACATTTTCCCAGATGAGAAGTTTGATTACAAAGCCCAATTACAAATCCTGGTGTAGTGAAGGCTTGAGTTAATGCATTCTATTCCTGATCCAATTACCTATGCCCGGTGGAAGAGACATTTAGCTACCATTTACCATTGAGACTACTTTTAAAATCTGTGAGGGCAATTTATTAAAAGAGAAGGCTATCATTAGTTTTAAGACTATAATTAGTATTTAAATCTTAACTTTCCTTAAGCTTCTAAGTTTTACTTAGAAGTATTCTATTTAGAAATCTAGTATATTTCAATAATCACTTTCAAAAGGGCCTTTAATGTTTAATGAAGTTCATTTAGGTTGAATAGAATAAATTTTTTTAAATAGTCCCATTTACAATTCAAGTTCCTTTAAACAACATCATTTATATATTTAATATATTTGATTTTCTTTCAAACACATTTCAGATGTTTGACTTACAAGCTCCCAAATGCTTAATAAAGATAAAAAACATGTAACAGCTTTCCAAGTTCTTTGAAAATTTTCTGTATTTTTGCAGGCTTAATATTATTTTTAAATACTTTTCAACTGTATAAGTTGAAACACATTTTAAATTAGCCTCTTAAGGTCGGTGTCACATACTGTAATATGCAAATTATGTTTAACTACTTCAAGTAGCAAATGCTACAAAGTTTGATCCAGTGAGTATAAACACTATTTCCGAATTCAACAAAAAGTATTGATGACTATTGTTTCCTAACCTTTTCGAAAATTTATAATCATTACATACATATTTCACTTAGGAACTACAGCATTCAGTGAAGTTTTGTTAAGGAACAGGTAGTTTAGGCTCCACAAGTGGGCCAGTTCGCAGTGCTGGGATGCTGAGGACCTCAGTGTTTGGGACTTCAGTAGTGAATTAGCCAGTTTAATTAATTCAATGTTAGATGAGAATAATACCAACTTTGGGTTGAGAATTAAAACTAAACAGTAAATGGGAAAACCTTTAACACATAGTACACAATTGATGACAGTTACAATATGATCTATTTTTAAAGTCTCACATTACTTCCTCACCTAAATAAAGCACTAGATTATAAGCTACATTAGAACAGACTGTATTTTTTTTTGTCATCATTATGTTCACAATGTAGTATAGAAGTAGTATAGTATATGAAAAGACAGGCTTAGTAAATATATATTCAGTAAATGAATAATGTACTTTGGCTTTGCAGATACAGATGTACAGGTAGATTGTGATTTATCAAAGTGACACAAGTTGTTAGTAGAGCCAAGACTAGGAGGTAGGTCTCTGACTCCCTGCTTTTAGCAACTGATAAGAGATGAAAATTTATAAAGTGAAAATAATTTCTGTAAAAAAAAGGTAGCATAATTAGAATATGGCTATGCCATTTTCTAGAGACTGATTTCAGTTATTTCAAGTTTGCATAAAAAAATTGGGAGTGACAGTTGTGACACAAAAAAGTAAATCATGGAAAAATATCACTAAATTTGTGTGTAGATTTTCATTAAAAACCTTTCATTTAATACTATCTGCTTTTTTTTTTCTTATAGGGGCATTACTGTAGTGTGTCTTAATTGTGATTTCCTAACTGATGTTTCTGGCTTAGATAATATGGCTACACACTTAAGTCAACATGAAACTCATAGCTGCCAAATTGTAATAGAGAAAGGTATGTATATACAGTTGTGTTACTTTGGATCTTTGATATTTATTCCAGTATTTTCAGTCAGCCCCAGTGTGAGCTCTTTACTAAGTCATTATTCTCATTTGTCTTATTTCATATGCTATTTTAAATATAAAAATTTTCTTCTAATTACAGTTTCTGTTTGTATCCCAACTTCTGAACATCTTTCTGAGTAAGTTTAATTTTTAATTCAGTGTATTTTACTTTGCTGGATTTTCTAAATATATCATTAATAGAAATGAAAAATATTAAAGTATTTTGTTTTTGTTTTTTCTTAAAGCTGCTTGTTGAAATAGGTTCCTGCTCTATGGAGCTCATGACCTGGTGCAAGACAAGTTGGAATTTCCTAAGTTCAAAGTTCTGAGATGTTTTCTTACACAAAGGATAATTAAGCAGCCAAGTTCATGACACTAGCTCTCATTATTCAGCTCTTTTCAGCTTCAAATGGGACTAGATTCTTATTCCACCTTATCTTTGTGTCAGGTTGACATATTTTAAGATGTTTTTTTCTCCAGTTTGTTCTCTCCAAAAATAACTTTAGTTACAATGGTTGTTTCTTACTTAAAATAATTTGTGTTTTTCTCTGCTGTACTTGCCTTCAGAATAATGATGTGACTGTTTGTCTTTTTGTCTGTCTGCTTTCTTAATTTCTTATAAGCCTTAAGTTTTTAGGCCAGAAATTATCTTTTTCCTCATTCATTGTCTGTCATTGTGCTATTTTTCTTATTTTTCAGATGCAGAAGCAGCCCAGAGATTTCAAAAAATGTCCAGGGTACACCTGGGCAGTGTCCCCCTTCGATGGACACAACTGATGCTTGTTCTCTCTTTCCAAGGAATGTGAATATTTTGACTGTGGGACTGGCACTAGGTTGTAGTCTCAAGAAATCAGATCTTGGGGAGACTCCCTTCCTTCATGGCTGGCCTCCCATAGGGCTGATGCTGATTTAGCCAGAGATGGTCTCAAGCCCCACCAAATTGAGCACAGCTTCCCTCTGGGGGCTTTGGCTCTTGATCTTCAGCTTGTAGGTCACTTTTGGCGAAAAAAAGCCTATCACAAATCAGTGCTTTAACATCCAAGTTGAAGTTTAGTCTTTTGGCTGCTGCTCTTTAATCTTCCTCTACTAGGAATGCAGTCCAAGGAATACAAAAGCTCTGGTTGTTAGGAAACCATGGTTATTTTCATGTCCTTGGAACAACAGGTCTCTACAGTTATGTTCCAAAATAGTTTTTTTTTTTACTGTCATTTAAAATATATTACCCAATACTAACTTTACAATTTTTCAACAATACCAATTCTCAGATTTTTTATTTAAAAAATTTGTTTTGGTTGCCTGGTTTTATGTTCTCCAGATTTATTGATGTCTATTTTATGGTATCTATTTGTATATTCTTTTCTTTAAAACTGTTACTTAGTGTTTGCTTTGTTTTGTTAAGAGCTCTAAGGGATTTCCTAGAATTCTCTACAGATTCCCCCTAGCTGCCTATTTCTAGCTTTTTAATTTGGCTGTGGTTGAGCCCATTAGCCATTATTATATTCTCTGCTTATTTCAGAAATATTATCATTCATATTATCTTAATAATTTTGAGTTCTAAGGTGTAAAGAATTGGCAAAGCCTCTTCTGGCAGACCTTAAAACAAGTTTTAAAGTTACATATTTGTACATCTACTACATAATACCTACTTAGCCATTAGTTCAGTCCTTTTGGGTAAAAGGTAGCATTAAAAAATATGGGGGCCAATAATGCACTTGTTTCTATCATATATATATCTCCACATATGTATGTATATTTTTTAAAATTTGGCATTCACTTCAGCTATTGAATATAGATCTACTAAACAGTTTTGATGCTATTATTTTCTTTCAATGAAAAATGTATTATTTAAGTGCCTCAGGAATTATTTACTAATAAAGAATTAACATGAAAGCTGTAGATTTGATCATATAAATAGGAGCACTGCTTTAATTGTTATATAGAAGCCTTATTATTTCAGCCTGCAGACTGACAGCTACTTAGTACATCTTGCGTTTTCTCCTCTGGCACAATTGTAAGGTCACTTTACTATATCAATTTCTTGAAATTTAAAGATAGCAAAATGCCTTTTGTGATTTTAGTTGCCATAAGGATAGACAGTCTCTGAAACTAAGACTCAAAAAGTATTTTTTTATTCTAAAATGAGAACTTCTTCAGGTTTACTTTGAATCATTTAAATCTAATTTAGATAACTACTTATTCTGTAATGTGTTCCTTGCAATTAATAATCAAAACAGTTGAATCCATTAATTTTAAATTTCTACTATAAATGAATGATTTTTCCAAAAGCTCTGAAAGTTACTTTATTTCTTGGTAAGAGTACATACTGGTGATATGCTAATTGTTATTTCCTTATTTGACTCTAGGAAGTATTGTCATTTACCCTCTCTCTACTCAACTTTTTAAAATACTTTTATGTTTTTCCCAGAAACAACAGCTTCTTTCCGTTTTTAACCTAAGTTCCTTTTTCATTTACAGATATTTGCTCTACCTTGGTTGTAGTTCAAAAACATGATCAACTACATTCTTGATATAATAATGTAGAGTACTACCTTGTGCTCTTCTTTAGGACTCTATTGTATCATATTACCAAGTGCATACCCTTTAAAGTTCTATTGCATGTAACTTCGTTTTTAAAAATTTTTTAATAGAACATTTAAGGCAGTTAGTACAAAACTTGCTTTTTATAGGCAGTTGGTTGAATTTTAATTTTGTAATAATGAGTTTTAGCTTGAGTCGGATCCCTCCTTAACCATCAAGTTATTCTAAATAGTTTATTCACCTGACCAGAAATTGCCATTTCATGCCTGTGTGCTTCTGGTTACCACTGAATAAAAAGTGAGATTGGTTTAGTTTGAGTCCATCACCATTCTTGGAAAAAATTACTCCTAAACTACAGAGACTTGAAATCTTGCCATGTTCTTCTTACATTTTGGCAAAACACCCGGCTTCTTTGGGCCTTACTTATTTATTCAGTGACTCTTTCTTGAACACCTGCTTTGTGCCTGCCTGACACTGATCTATGTGCTAGAAAAATACTGAACTCTCTGCTTTCATGGAGCTTTCATTTTAGTAAGGAAGACAATAAAAAGTAAATAAAATATATAGTATGTTAGATTGTGGTCAGTACTATGGAGAAAATTAAGTAGGGTAGGTAGATAAGAAGAACAGTGTGGGAGTTCAGAGGCTGCCAGTTAAAATTTGGTGGTTAGGGGAGGCCTCACTGAGAGATCACATTTGAGTAAGAACCCAGGATGAGGTCCTTGGTTGGTTTGGCTGCAAATGAGTGAGCAAGAGGGAGAATAATAGGAGACGGACCCTGTGAGGTAATGTAGGCCATGTGTATGGAAACTTAGAGATTGTTGTAAGGAATTTGGCTTACATGAGAGAAGCCATTAGAGGATTTTGAATATAGTATTATTGCATAACCTCAATAAAAAACCCGCAATTAACAAAAAACTTAAATATAGCCCCTGTTTAGAAAATAAACTGTAGAAGACCAAGGGCAGAATCAGGGAGATTAGTTAGAGGTCTCTAGTAATAATAATTCAGGTAGTCTTAGGCTAGGCTAGGCTGCTAACAGTATAAGTGTAGGAGGTTTGATTTTGCAAATATTTTGAATTTGTTGATGGTTTGGATGTGAGGTATAAGAGAAAGTACTAAGGGTGATTCCACAGTTATTTGTCTGAGCAACTGGAAAGATGGCATTGATACTAACTCAGATGGGGGAGACTAAAAAAAAAAAACAGATTTGGGAGGGAAGATGAGGACTTTGAGACATGTTTTAGTTTGAGATACGTGTTGACATCAAGTGGAGATGTCATAGTCATTCACCTGTAGAAATTTGGGGAAGTCTTCCAGGCTGTAAATATCATTTAACATTTTTATGTATCATGGGAATGAATACAAGCAAACATTAGGGAAATCTGAAAAAAGGTTAATGTACTGTATTACTGTCAATATCCTGGTTATGATTTTGTACTATTATTTAGTAAAATGTTGTCATTGGGGGAAACTAGACAAAGGATACATTGAATCCCTGTATATATTTCTTACAGCTACATGTGTGAGTATACAATTGTCCCAAAATGAAAATTCGTCAAAAAAGTCCTGGAACTTGATGAAATCACCAAGGGATGCAGTAAAGATGGAGAAAAGTCAAAAGGAAGGTCTGGGGAATTTAATAATAAAGGATTAGGGAGAGAAAAAGGAATTGGCAAAGGAAGCTAAGAAGGAATGGCCAATGATGTGGGAGGAACACTAGAATGATGTCCTTTGAGCCTCAGTTACCCTCTTTCTAAAATGTGAGTGCTAACTTGTTCTAGAGTTCCGGGATTCTGTTATTCAATATTGACTATACCTATATGTCATTATTTATTCCTATGAGAAGATGAGTTTAGAATGCTACATATCCTTATCCCCAGTAGCAACAAGAGGGACTCTCTTGACTCTGAAAAAATTAAATGTCATGTTCAACTCTACATTATACTCTTGTAAAAATAATTCTTACATTTCTATAAAAGAAGGTAACTAAGTCAGTGTTTCTCAAACTAATGTCCATAATTTATTTATAAATTTTCTGAGGGAAAAAATTTTTATGATTAGGCAAGTTTAGGAAAGGCAAGTTAAAGCTAAATCTTTTCTTTACTGTGGGGTTTTTCATGCTGTATGTGGCCTGTGAATGTCTAAGAATGTTTATTTGGCCTTGGAATTTTCCTTCAATAGTTACTAACTTCTTGGCATAAATCTCCATATAATAAGTGTGTAGAATGCTGATCTAGAGGAATCATTCTTCAGACTTTCTGAATTTGGAAAAAAAAGTCACTTGTTTGACAAAGATGTACTCCTAGGCATTTCATTCATGTTTGTGAATCATTTGTAAGGTGGAATATGTAACTGGATGCTAGCAATGTGAATTTTCATATTTGTAGAATTTATATTAAAAAGCCAGTATCCTCATTAGTATGTTTATAAAATCTAAGAAATACGTAACAGTGACAAGCCAGTTATTAGTTCATTCTGCCTCTGACTGTAGCAACAGGGGATGTTTTTGTTGGAGGGTATTACCAGTTACTTTACATGATTTCCCGCTAAGATGCTTAATAATATCTCATATTTATTTCTAGCTCCTCACTGTAACTCTTTATGCTTAGCTTTTCAGTCTTTTTATTTATTTATCTTTATTTTGGTATCATTAATCTACAATTCCATGAAGAATATTATGTTTACTAGGCTCCCCCCTTCACCAAGTCCCCCCAGCATACCCCTTCACAGTCACTATCCTTCAGCATAGTAAGATGCTGTAAAATCA